TGTCTCCGACTCAGAAGGCAGGCGGGTAGGCTGGCAGACAGGTAGGCTGGTAGGCAGGCATGCAGGGAAGCAGGCAGGTAGGCAGGTAGGCAGGCCGGCCGGCAGGCTGGGAGGCAGGCAGGCAGGCAGGCAGACAGGCAGGCAGGCAGGCAGGCAGGCAGGCAGGGAGGCAGGCAGGCAGGCAGGGAGGCAGGCAGGCAGGTAAGCAGGGAGGCAACTATATAGAGTATATAACAACAACTTTGTGGTAGTAAATACAATTTGTATTTATTTACTACAAATTTGTTATTGGAATGCTCCAAGTGCCTTGGCGGGTAGGGGGCCGATAAGCCTTAGCGGCAGAGCTATAGGGCGCCCGGTTGTGGTAATGGGCGACGATGGTAGACGGCATTTCAACAAGCCGTTTCCTATTGCAATAATTAAATCCGCGTTCGTGGCGCGACAACCACACACGGCGGCCGAGAGGATGGAAAGTTCGGCCATATATCATCAAGATAACATCAAGGTGAACACCTTCTTAATACGCTCTTGATAAATGATAACATGACGGGAGGGGCAAAGCGGTGCGAAGGTGCGAAGGAGGCCACGATGTGAGCGAGGGCTGGGTGGTGGTGCAAAAGAGACACGAGAAGGGCGCGGAATGATTACCGTTCTATAGTCCTTCGGGTCGTTGGTCCTACGGGTCGGTGGTACCCTGGAGGATTGGTGTGGAAAAAGTCGGGGGAGAAGGAGAGGTGCAAGGGAGAGCAATGGGGACTGAGTGGAGAGGGAAACGGGAGCGCGGGGTGAAGGGAATGTGCAAGGACGGGAGTGGAGAAGAGAGACAGACAGCGGGTAAATCGAAGATGAGTTTAGGTATAACTAAGAAACAAACTATATACTGGATAAGCGCCTATACACCGGGGGAAAACCCATGCCTGTAAGAACCGAGTTAATCACGAGTGATATAAGGCCGTGGCTACACGTCCGGTTACCGGACGCCCAGCTCCCAGGCTACGCGTCCAGTCATTTATTTCTTATGTGAACCCAACTATATTTTTTCAGTAAAAAACAATAAGTTTTTACCATAATATTACTTTCCGTTAGGTATATTATCAAATAAATGTGTTTTTGCAACATTTGTTATTGAAGCAATAGTAAATCCAGTAAAATCAACGATTTGAAAGGGGGCGTGGCCTAATCGTAACGTTTATATGGAAATCTGTGCTGAGCTTTGTAATGGATGAGAGGACGCGTAGCCACTGCGGTGAAATAAATACCGTCTACGTCATCATCGCCTTCCGACATCTTACGCTTGATTGTCGTAACGCAATGATGACGCAAACCCTGGAAGCACCGACACGTGGAAGAAACAACAACCGTTCACACAAACGTCATTATAATTTAATAACCCCTGGAACCACCGATTGTAGCGTAACAAGGCAAGCCATGTAACCACAGATGTAACCTGACAAGGCAAGCCATGTAACCACTGGTGTAACGTAACAAGGCAAGCCATGGAACCACTGATGTAACGTAACAAGGCAAGCCATGGAACCACTGATGTAACGTAACAAGGCAAGCCATGTAACCACTGATGTAACGTAACAAGGCAAGCCCTGGAAACAG